GGGATCATATCATCTTACCGAGTAGCGGTCGTGCTCAAAATCAGTGGTATGTTGCGGGGGGACTTAAATTACCAATACACAACCATACTCTTGTATCACTCACGCAGCAAAGAAAAATATCACAAACATATGTGCGGGTACTGAGATGAAATCATCTCGACATATGGGTAAAAGAGAGAAGGATTCAACAAGTCAAGAAACAAAAATTTTTAGACAATAATAAATGCGACAGCAGATATTTGTATAGCATTGATTTCGTTAACGTTAAGGTGATATAAATTTTTTTGGCGCTAACCAAATTAAGTATAAGTAACTTCCGAATCCTTTGTTATTATCGTTTATATATCACAGGGTCTTATGTCGGGGTCTACTATTAGGAAAATTACGGGAATTGAACGTCATTTTAACATAAGAAGAATTAAGGTTTTTATAATAAATCGATTAGAATTATGGTATTTCGTGCATACAGTACACACTGTATACAATTATAAAAAGTGGAGTAAAAAAAAAGGTGTGTTTAAAATTATGAAATAGAAAAATTGTATTTTTATATTCGTCGGTGTAGCTACTATTTCGACCACGGGATTCTCTGAAATATTATTACGCGAACGAATCCTGTACCAAATTTTGCCAATTTAATTTCGTGTCGTTTTTTTTTTAAATAATAATAATAATAAAAATTTTTTTTTTTTTAAAAAAAAAAAGGAAATTATGATTAGTTGAAGTTTTAGGTCCTTAATATGAACTCGTTTTCTGACCGAATCTCATATTAGGAATCTTTCGATTTCAATTTTCTTTTCTTTTCTTTTTTGGTTTGGTTTGTTTGATTTTTTTTTTTTTTTCGTGCATATATACATAGTAATTCGTTGTTTGCTGAATAGAACCCTAAGTAAAACGATTGATCAAAGTTTTTTGAATTTCGATTAAATATGAAAACGATATAATTTGAAAATGCGATTAAATGGTATTAATAATATTAGTAATTATAAAAAAGCATAAGAGAAGAGAGATTTTAATTAATTTTGTTTTAAGCAAAGTAAACATAACATACGTGGGAGGGGAATCATGACGGTATGTATTAAAAAGGGAGTTAAAAAAATACGGGGAAAGGTAATATTTTTTTTCTTAGTGCATAGCTTATAAAATAAAATAATTGTGGCGCGCATGCCATATTTCGCCCTCTGTCGTAACGATCGTGATAATGGTGTGGCTTATAGATATTTTAAAAATAGAAATCCACCATATGATCATAAAAATAGAAATCCACCATATGATCATTTAAATAAGAAGAATGTATTATAGTTTACGTCCTTTATGGTGTGAGACGAGTTTCCACTCCTCCATCGTTACACCATGGAGCCGGTCGCGACGATTCCATAGAATAACTGCGTGGAGTCTGCGGCGGGGATAACGAATAAGTCGGAGTATGCGAGATAAATTTTTTCGAAGCCTGCTGGTAGATTCCTGGTGAACTGGACTTCGGAGATAGGGAAGATGGTGAAGGAAAATTAATTGCCGCCGATTCGGAATAAAAGTCAATGTCGTGATGTGATGAATTATCGTCGTTGTTCACGTTTAACGGTTTCAAGGTTAGATTCTGCGGATCATCAAGTTGAGGTGTGGTATATTTTGACCAAGGATTTAGAGGGTTTTCTACATCGGGAGCGGGGGGAAGTAAAACTTGCATTCCCGAAGAAGAGCCAAAAATCGGCATCGGCATTGACTTTCTAGGGGGTAGAGCCCATGGAGGTGGCAATGTCAAAGGTTCGAAAGGAAAAGGTGGCAAAGAGCCCAAAGTAGAACAAGGCCTCGGTGTCTCTGAATAATTGCCAGGTAATGAGTGAGATTTCGGCGGAGACGAATTTGTCGCAGGGGATACATTATCTTGATGAGGTTTGGGGAACTGAACGCCATTGGTCACGTGATTCGTATGCATAACTTGAGGATATAAGGCCACGGGTCGCCTCAGGATTGTCGATGTTTGATCAAACTCCCGTCCGGTTTCTCGGCAAATTTCACTGGAGACATCATCCCGTGGATACACATTTAGATTCATGGGAACTTTTTTGAAGAGATGATTTATAAGACGATTGTCGACATTAACATTCCTCGAGTATAATCATACTAAGAATTTTTATCGTTTACCATTTCTTTGTCGTGAAATATCCGCTAGCGGAACGGGATTTGAATAGTTTCCCGAGACATTTGCGTATGTCGATCGTGGAATGCAATGAGATTGAAATCTGTCCGTGGCAATTCCTGTATCATCATCGATTATCACTATGGAGGCATTGGTGGGCGTAATTGATGATGGTGGCCTCGTAGGATGAACCGACGGACAAAAGTTTTTCTTGGCTAATAAATCATCAAATGTATCTTTGAGACTTGGATCCTTCTTCAATGCATTTTCGATTCTTTTCGCCGGACTTTTGATTACCTCGACGGTGCCATTCCTAGGGCCACGTTTTTTAGCAGTCCCGGTAAACTCACATCTATTTCTAGTCCTCTCGCAGTTGGCGCAAGGAACGACACCCGTGCACTTAACCTTTTTCTTTTGGCAGGCTTGGCATGCCACTGTGACCTTGGTTCGATTCATCAACAAAATTGAAGTTCCAAGAAAAAAAAAAGAGAAACAAAGATGCGAACGTTTTACAAGTAAATTTTTGTGGTTTCTTATATTAATGGTAAGGTCGCGTGATTGTGCACGGTTATTCCGAAGAATAAAAAAATGTATAAATATGAATACGAAAAATCACAAAAAAAAAAAAAAAAAAGGGTAAATAAAAATAAAAAAAAAAAAAAAAGGTGAAGATGAAATTTTTTTTTTAAAAAAAAAAAATAAAATAAAATAAAAAAAAAACGAAGTATAATAAAACTGGTGGAACCGCAAAAAAAAAAAAAAAAAAAAAAAAAAAAAAAAAAAAAAAAAAAAAATAAAAAGAGGAGGGAAAAAAAATGGAGGACTATTTGGAGGAGGGAAGAA